GCTTCTGCAAGCTTATTGCAGATAGACACCTTGATGAACGTTTCTAGGATATTCCCTAGAATAGATGTTAGGCTGACTGGCCTATAGTAACCTGGGTCCTCCCTCCAGCCTTTCTTGTGGATGGGCACAACACTGGCCCTCTTCCAGTCCTCAGGGACTTCTCCACAGTGCCATGAGTTGTATAAGAGTTTCACCAGAGGTTCCGTAATGACTCGGCTAGCTCCTTCAGCACTCTTGGATGAAGATCATCAGGTCCCGCTGACTTCTATGAGTCTAATTTTATTAATTGGTCATACACCAATTCTACAACAATAGTAGGAAGGCAATATTCCTACCATGCTCATCCTCTACTCTACCTGACATGGTTTTCCTCTTGGTCTGGTGCAAGACCGAGGCAAAGTAGTCATCCAGGAGTTCAGCTTTCTCCTGGGTGCCAGTAACCAGCTCTCCTCAGTTGTTGAGCAACAACCTCACACTCCCATTTGTCTTCCTCCTGTTCCCTATGTACCTAAAGAAGGACTTCCTATTCCTAATCTTAGTTTGGTCACTGCTTTAGCAAACTAATCTGTCTCATCTGTTCCCTGCAAATGTGGGCTGTTATGGAATAGTCCTCCTTGGAGCCAGCCCCAAGCTTCTATTGTTTATAAGCCTCTTTCTTAAGAGGACCATGATTTCCCTGTTTAGCCAAGAGGGCTTCCCAGCCCTTCTGTTACCTTTTCTCTGCATGGGAATGGACTTCCTTTGTGCTTCAAGGATAGTGTCCTTAAGGAACAGCCACTCTTTGTGCACACCTTTTGCCTTCGATCTCTGGTCCCGCAGCACTTGCCCTATTAGTGACCTAAGCTTGTTGAAATTCGCATTTTTTAAATCTAAGACTTCAATCCTGCCATCTGATTTGCTTTACATCAGACAGAGAACATGGTCACTGTCACCAAGACTTTCCTCTACGTTTAAGTAGGTCATCAGGTCTTTTCCTTTGGCCAGAACCAAGTCTAACAGAGCATCACCTCTGGTTGGCCCATGCACCTCCTGAGTCAAGAAGAGCTCCTTGACACAGGTCAGGAAAGATTACAAGCGATCCAACTTGGTTGAGTGTTCCTCCCAGGAGATGTCTGGATAATTAAAATTGTCCATGACAATCATGTCAGATGCACGTGTGGCCTCAGTCAATTCTCGGGTGAACTCCAGATCGAGTTCCTCCCCCTGGTTTGGTGGTCTGTAGTATACACCTACAGTTAGATCTCTCGCGCTGCACCCCCCCCCGCAACTTGACCCAGAGGGTTTCATGCTGTCCATTTTTGAAGCTGATGTCAGCCTCCAAGGAGGTGTACTACTCTTTCACATGGAGAGCAATGCCTCCACCTTTCTTCGCCACCCAGTCCCTTCTATACAGGGTGTAGCCCTGTATAGCTATGCTCCAGTCATGTAAGGAGTACCACCAGATCTCAAGATGTAATGCTCCTTAACATGGTTTAATCCCATCCATAGGCTAAGACCAAACCATGTTACAGCCCGTTCTAGACACAGCACATCTGGTTCTATAGACAGATCTTAATCATACTATGATAATGTTGTTATGTTTAAACACCCATCAGATTTAAATCACCACAGAGAGTAACATACTTCCAGTCATCAAACAGACAGAAAATGTTGTTTAGTTCAGTTCTGAAGCTGGTAACATACAGCTGCTCATGCGCAGCCTGTGGGGCATACTGTGGTAATATGTGGGAGCTCTGGTCATGGACCTGAACACTACAGGGCTAGGTACTACACAAATAGGACAAACACCCTATGAAAACTTCCATCCACAAGATTACATGTACAGAGAAGAGTGAAAGCAGAATGACAGGACTCGTTTACCTTTTCAAATGCAGCCAAGAGAACATGAGCATGACCAGTAACTTCCACCACCACTGGAAAGAAAAAACAACATTGATTAAAATGCTGAAGAAGGTCAGCCCACTGCACCCAATGGGTATAGGAGGAGAGTTACCTCATTTACCATGAGTAGACCTTCCTTGGATTTTTCCCATGAGGCCCAATACCCTGGGGCAGGAGATTTATGAATGGAGAGAATAATGAAGAATAAAACTACCAAGCTTATAAGAGTTGGAATGCAGGTACTGTTTTAAAAGTAGAATTTCAGCTATTTTCCCCTTTAATCCAGACATGTTGAATTTTAATCCTACAATTAGAATTAAATCTTAGCCAAAGGTCAGCTGTCTGACCTTTGGCTATGATTTGGTTCAAAGACTCACTTAATTAGCTTCTGCAGGACAGCAAACACTCCTAAACATAGAGCTGAACCCTATGCCTAACAAACAGGCTCTAAACTCTCAGATTTATTTGATTAGTTTTGTATCTCTGAGATGTTTCATAGAATTATATAAAATTAGGGTTGGAAGGGACCTCAGGAGGTCATCTAGTCCAACCCCCTAATCAAAGCTGGACCACCTCTAACTTGATCATCCCAGCCAAAGCTTTGTCTAGCTGGGTCTTAAAAACCTCCAAAGATGAAGATTCCACAACCTCTCTGGGTAACCTGTTCCAGTGTTTTACTACCCTCCTAGTGAGAATGTTTTTCTTAATATCCAACTTAAACCTCCTTTGCTGCAACTTGAGACCACTGCTCATTGTTCTGTCTTCTGCCACCACTGAAAACAACTTTCCCTTTACAAAACTATGAAATTGAAACTATGAGAAGTGAATAAACCTGCCAAGTTCCTTTTATTCCCTAAGCTTGTGATCCTTGCATAGGGAAAAATTAGGCTAGCTTATCTGCAGGTGGCAAACCCACCTTATTCCAATCTAGTCTTAGGCACTTATGATGCATTAACTAACTGCACCAGCTTTTTGTCAGGTACAGCCACTGAAACATCTATGTCTATTTCTCTGGCTCCTTCCACCCTCTCTCCCCAAAATAAACAGCATTTTTGTACTTTCCAAATGGGATACCTTGCCATTACCCAAAATGCTCAAAGTAATTGCCAAAGGTTCTTGTGCTGCATCAACAGATTCTTCAATCCTTTGTCAAATGCAGAATAAGTGTATGTAGCCCTTAGAATCCAAAATCCTTCAAGCGAGAGGATTCCTGAGTTCTGTCCCAGCACTTATATTGGCATGTATGGCCATTTTGTTTTACTGGCTCAATTTTGTCATATGTTAATAAGGAATAACTCTTTCCTGCCTCAAAGTGCTGGGAAGAGTAAACTGTTAAGTGCCTGGAGACTACTGGGGATGGGAGTCACTAGAGAAAGCATACAACTTCAGGTCCCATTATCACAAATATATACAGTTCAGCTCAGTACACAAGAAAGGTTTGGAGCAACTAGCCCACTATAATCAGCTTCCAGGCCAGTAATGGTTGAAGGAAGTAACACAGTGGGTGCATCTACTTGAGATGTTTACTGCCTAATTAGCTCTGCAGTAAAGTCTCAAGATCTACACATGTGGCCCTATGAGGCTGCAAGAAACTAATTAAACTCCACCGCAGGTCCTGTGGCAGTGTTCTTCTGTGTACAGCAGCACATGTGTAGACGCTGACACCGCTGGCTGGGTCATGAGAGTGCTTCAGTGCATGGCTGCCTGCTCCCCGCAGCACTTTGAACCAGGTGGGAGCAGCCCTGGGCTGAAAGGCTGAACCCCTGGGCCCCCTGCCAGCCAGGGATGTTCTGACCCAGCTCAGCAGTCCTAGGCCAGAGTTTATTGCTCCATGCTAACAGCACATGTAGATGCATCCAGTCAGTCTCCAATAAAGATAGGAACTCATTAATTCCTTTTTGGTCCCCAAAATCAAATGACTACAAGAACTATTCACTGGATTTTGGCACAAAAATCAGGTTTAGAAATAGCAGCATATGGGATAGGAAACTATGGAGTCTTAGGATCTGTAAGAGAAGGGTCTACAGGCCCTGACGACAGATTGAGTTATTCGGAAGAACATCAGTAGTTAAGATACAGTTGACAAAGATAACCATGTATCAGTAGAAGAGAGACTATTTGCTGATCCCCTCCCTGCCATTTGTGAAGAAGAAATAAATTCTAGATTATTTGGTGACAAAGCCTGGTCTACCTTGCTCAATGAAATTCCTCCTATAAGTTGTTTTTAAGAGAAGTTGGGGATAAAAGAATCTAAAAGGGAATAATGCCTGCTCATTCAGGCCATTTGCATGTCTAAAACTGTGCAGTCATATACTGAACAGCTTCTCCCCTCAGTTGAGGGTGTCACAGAAGTACCCCAAGACAAAGTTACTTTGGGGGTTGCCCAAGTGGCATGCATGGATGTTCTCCCAAATTAGGTTCTCTATTGGGGTGTTTGGTCTCTAACTGTAGCCACATTCAGTTTTATTGTCCTTATAACAGTACATGTTATAGTGTTTAAATGTAAATTGTAATGTATCTTTATATTTCTACTAAAGTTGTTAGTGTTGGTAGCATAAGGTGGTGATTAACTTGAACAAACCACAACTCTTCAAACTTAGAAGAACCAATGGCTGAGAATTAGCATTTGACTTGTTTTGTGTTCAGGTCGTCCTCAAGGTTGTGCCTCTGGCCTGCAGTGCAGTAGCAAGGTTGGGGGGGGGCAGCAAGCAGGGTGACCGCCCCAGGTGCTGAAGTGAAGGGGTCCCAATAAGCATTGCCAGCTGGGGCGCGGGACAGAGCCACGAGCAGCTTGTTGGTGGAGTGTGGGGACACGGGAAAGGCAGGTTCCGCCGCTGCATGCACTCTCGGCCAAGCATGGGGAGGGAGGAGAGCGTGTGCCCCCCGGATCTGTGCGCAAGGTGATGTTGGGCTGCCGCTGTGGGCACTGCCCCAGGTGCCAAACTTCATTGCTACAGCACTGCTGGCCTGGGTCTGGCCAGACAGTGATCTATTTACATGTTGTGAAAAACCTAACACCTAGCTGATCAAATCATCATCCAAGAGAGACAGAGAATCAGATTAACAAATCTGCATGTCTAAAAAGGATACAAGAATGTGGTTTGGTAAACAAGCACGTCTGGAGGGGTTCAGAAAGTTACTGGCATAGTGTGAGGCCCCTAGAAATGAAGGGGTGACATGCATTAAAAACCATGGTGTTTATATTCAGTCTGCTCTGGTACAAGGGAGCGGCGAGATCCCCAGCCATAAACCAAGCCAAGAGGGGAATGCAGAAAACCTAACCAGCAGGGTCAGGGCCAGAAGATACGTTTAGACCAGGGGTGGGCAATTATTTTGTCTCATGGGCGACATAGGGAGTTTTGAGTTGGCACCCATCTCCCACTGCCGCTGCACAACAGCTCACCAAACCTCCTAATGTGGGATGGGCCGCAAGTGGGCAGGGAGCTGGCGTTGGGGCGGGCAGATGGCAGTTTCAGCAGGGACAGCTCAATCAAGATTCCATCTGCTACCAGCACCACCTCTGGACTGCCCTTCTACCCCAAGAAGGGGCTGGAGCTCCTGCCCAGCTTTGGCATCAGTGATCTAGGCGCAGGGGTGGTGATGTCTAGCAGCAGCTTCTGCCTGGCCATTGGGAAAAAGCGAGACCTGGTGGTGGGTGTGGCCACCTCCCACTTGCCACTGCCAGGGCCTTCTTGCTGTGGCCACCTGGAGTCCATGCCGGGGTTGCATTGTGACTCCTCCCCACTGCCATTGCTACCATCAGCACCACCTCTGGGCCACCCTGGATTTTTAGGCTCAGCAGGGAGGCCCCAGCAGTGGTGAAGGGAAGGCAGCTGCACCTACCGCCAGGTCCCACTATTTCCCAGCACCCAGCATAGAGTGGCCATTGGTCCTGTTTTATACTGGGCCATCCTGTTTTTAAACCCTTTGTCCCCTGTCCATTCTTGAATGAGACATGGACTGTACATAGTTTTTCAGTTCATTAGTCAAAATGCATATCAATCATTTGTCCTCAGGATTCTATTGGTGGTGCACAGCCAGGAGAAGCAGGGTTCTGAGCCAGTAAGGGAGGATGGTGGAGGATCCCAGAGGCTGGTTCCTCTGCACCTGTGCAAGGAGCTGTGGCTGCAGTTCATGTGCCACCATAGTGAGAGCCAGGGCACTGTTGCATGCCTCAGCTCCCTGACCCTGGGCTGGGCATGTGTTGGATGGGCCTGGGCCCCACAGGCAGCTAAGCTACACACCCCTTCCCCCTCCACCCCCACTGCTTTGGTATAAGGTAATGGCTTTGAGAGCAAGCGGGTAGAGCACTGAATTTGTATCTGCTGAAAGGCAGGTGGGACTGAAAAGAGGCTCTTGCCACTTTCTTTGCACCCACAGAGCAACCTGGTGAGTCCCTGGGATGCCCTGCTCAGCAGGGACGAAGAGGTTTGGCAGAGGGGCCTCTTGGCTCCCAGGCAGCTCATTAAGCCATTATTTCTCCTCTGTTCCAGGCAAACCTGTCTGTTTCCTGGGAGGAAAGGAAGGTCCTGCTGGACAGCTGGCTGCACTGCCACAGGCATCCAGTGCCCATTGACCCCACTCAGCCCATCTCTGACCAGAATGTGCCCAGGGCAGACTCGTTGGTGCCCAGTGTCTGTGCTGAATGCAGATGGAGGGAGGTGAGGTCCCTGGGGATCGTGTGCCCCTGGCTCCCAAGCACAGAGCTGGGCTGGAGTGAGACCAGATCTGGGTGGGGGGAGGGGATGCCCAAGCCTCATACCTGCTATGCCATGTTTGTTCTCTCAAGACTGGATTGTCTAGGGAGAACAGTAGAGCTGTGGAATACGTGAAACCATGATGCACGGGGAGCAAGCCAAGGCTCCCTGCTGGCTGAACTGCAGAGGTTCACGAACATGCTGCCAATCCTAGCACCTGCTCTCCCTCACTTCACAGGGCACCACACGTTCATTGACCAAATAGCAGTCTTTTTGTGGTGGCCTCACCCTTTGCTGCTGATTGGCCAAGGAGGCTAGTGGTCCCACCAGTCACC